GTTCCGTTCCGTTCTTGCGCTCGTGACTCGACTCAGCAGTAGGTTAAACAAGCCACAAGGTGGTGACAGCGACCGGGGAGTGAATCGGGAATCGTTTGGCGAAACTGTTCCGCGTTCCGCTGAAGTGAATCGTGAATCGCGTTCCGCAGGAAAGAGTGACGATTCAGTTCCGTTCTCGCGCTCGTGACCCAGCCCTAGTTTGGAAGAGACAGAGTCTTCCTCTGCCAATCACAGAATTTCGGAGGGGGCATTTTTTGCTGATGCAATTCTTGGTTCTTTGATGTTTATGTGAGGTTGAACGCATGTCATTCTTGTTAATTTCTCTGTGTGTGTATGCTGTATTTTCCTTATTGTATCTATACAATTATATAGCCGGTTGCTTTTGTACATGTATCATCTCGTCTGATGAATCCTATTTCACATTTCTTCCATTAAACTTCTACCATCCTTTCTTTTGACTGATCATGAGACTAGGAGTCATTGGCGAACATGAATGTTCAGTTGTCTTAATTTCACATTCTATCATCGAGTATCTACCATTACCATCCTTTCTTTTGTCAGCTACACATTTCTGACAGGTAGCTGAACGAACTCATATTCATTAATATCAATATCATCCAACCATATTTTATGTCATTGTCAGCTACACCTTGGCTGAGGCTGCTTCTGTTTTCCACTTTCATGAAAGAAGAATAGATTGTAGGTGTACTAGGAGCAGCATCTGTGATCTAGGAGACCTATCTATGTGTTTTTCAGCCTATAAATTTTTTTGGGTGCTTGATTTCTACTTCAAATAAATTCGGGCACTTATTTATACCGAGAAGACTCGAAAAGACCCCTGAAAAGGCAGCCGCAAAGCCCCAAAAAGACAGCCGAAGAGACCCAAAAAGACACGAAAAGACTTTCTTGTGCAGCCGCAAAGTCAGCAGTGACGACGGTCACGCTGGGGATGATGACAAGCGTGATGCAAAGGGTGACGATGAGGAGGGAGGTGATGGTGACGTGAAAGACGATGATGATGGGGAAGAATGGGATGGATGGGTTGACGATGATGATAATGGAGAGGGATCAGTTGACGATGATGATGATGGGGATGAATCAGTTGACGATGATGATGATGGGGATGAATCAGTTGACGATGATGATGATGGGGATGGATCAGTTGACAATGATGATGATGGGGATGGGTTGGCTGACGATGATGACGAGACAGAAGAGGTGGTGGAGGTGAGTGGTGGGAGGCCTCTGTCACATGGCCGATTTCAGAATCTGCATGTCTTATTAGAGAGTCTTGAGGAAGAGGCTGAGCCGCTGCAAAAATTGCCTGTTGGTAAAAAGAATGGGTTTTTTTTGTTTTGTTGTTGCTGACAACGAACACAACCTCGAAAGGAGGGCGGCAAACAAAATTTCTCTGTTCCCTGATGATCGCGGGGCATGGGGTACTTGCGGCCCGTCGTCGAAGACATTTTTATCCAAGATGGAATAAATCTGAACACAGTCGTGAAACGCGCTGGCGTATACTGCAAAGAGGTGAAACAAAACAAGGTCAAGGTCTTCACTCCACTTGAGCCCCAACCTCATCCCACGAATGTGGTACTGTTGCAACGGTACTATACAAAACAAACTCAAGATGCGTCGTATGAGAAAAGAGTGTCTTGGGTTGAATACCCGGGGGCCCCCAAACGGCCATCTACGGAAAAAAAAAAGGGAAGTGTCCACCACCCAGGCCACATGGCAGGGTAACAACAGGAAATCCTGGAAATTACATCAGGATGCTGCCTTGAAAAATGGCAAAAATGAAAGAAGCTCTGAGGACAAAGAGACCTGCAGAAGTCTACAATTCGGACGACTCACTTGAGGGTGCAAGGAACGTCAGACAAGTATATAATGCTAAAGCAAAAGACAAGGCAACCAACAGGCCAGCTGGCACGCATTCAAACAACTTTTCGGGTCTTCTCAGTATAAATAAGCGCCGATTTGTTCTTTTCTCTTTTTCTTTTGCAGTTGAAACTGTGTTATTCTCTTCTCATATCCTCTTTTAAGAATGTGTTGAATAAGACGATCAAAATGATACATAACATATGCTTTTCGGATTATTCCTTGTTGAAATATCATCATTTATTTTCGTATTCATCCATTTTCGGACCCATGAAAATTGACCCCAGTCTTAATCTTCAGACCCTATTAAAGAGATTTAAGAGACTAAACTTTCTCTGATTCTTTCATATGAAAGTAGACATAATAACCTTTCAATCGATGCAACAAACATAAAGATATCTTTACTGGTTGCGAAGTTATGTACTTTTTTTGTCGAATTTCGTCCACGTTTAGTTCTATTCTACTTCCACTTGCGATGGTTCAAGCGCTGTAAGGTAAGCAAATCCCCGGACCGCAATTCCCGACCACTGCCCATATTCTTTATGGACAGGATGGACACAAGGGTACTGTGAAGGAATTTTGCAAAGAGATTGTCATTGCCCCCATTCAGTCCCACATGGCACGGCAAGCCGCCAATTGCTTTCGCCAAAATGCTGCCCCTGATAGACTCTGCTGCTGCCATGGGACATTTCCCCCTCACAGTTTGAGGACAAAAAGCACGGCCAGGTGTGCAAAGTGTGTACTGAAGTAAAGGTTCGGGCACAGACCAGATTTTATTGTCCGACATGCAAAGTGGCACTCTGAATCAATAACTGCTTTCGGATATAGCACACAGCTGCTGACATCAAGGCAACTCGGGAGCAGCTCAATAATAACTAGTTTCTATATATTGGAGTAACCAGATATGTATGCAGATGGATTATATTGTGCCAGTGAGAGAATACAGTGGGTTAGCAGTTTGAAACATCAACAAAAACCAATATTTCTTATGTGTGTGACCTGAAGACAGCCTTATGCATCTCATCGTACAACTCATGCAGCGTAGTATTTTCAAAATCATAGAAGAAAAACCCCTACACAGGCAAAACACAGGATTCAGAAGATAACCTTCTTTTCTGATCTTTGCTTAGATTAAACTAATCTATTGCTGTCTGCCAATGCAAATGTTATTTTCACTGTGCAGTTTTATAACACATTCTATGAGCAGCCTCTCAGCTGTAATTACAGCACTGAAGCATTCATATCACAAGTCCAAAGGGCATTTAGCCAGAGACAATTCTACGAAAACTGTTTTCTTCATTTCGGCTATACACAAGAGGAAAAATAAATGGCAAGTTTAGCATTGTGCACAAAACTGAAAATACCAATCGCAATGAAAGCACTGCAGTACACATTCCAGTCCCCCCATTCATTCAAAACATGACACGTTATCTATTGTGTTATCACTCAGTCAAACGAGTGATTCTTGCAAGCTATTCACAGTTTTCATATTCTATTTTATCGTTAAAGAGATAATTAAGACCTGGCTAGCTTTGTTCATAAAATATTTTCATGGATGACAAGAAATTCACTTTGCATTAAAAAAGTTTTACTTACGTGGCCTGGTGGTATCTTAAATTCTACAGTGTTTTGAAGAAAATGAACATTCAAACCAAGAGTCAATAACATAATTTTTTTGTGTTCCTGTACTTGAAAAATCACGTGACACTGTTGCCAGGAGTTTCACGAAATCTGTAAAACAAGACCATTGGCGTTTCCTGTGGGTGACAAAAAAAAAGGACAAAAATTAATATAATAAATAGAATAACTACATTAACAAGCGCTACAAGCCTGACTGTTCATCAACAAAACACGAAAGTTGTACAAATGATCATATTCGAAAATAGTAACAGTGTCCTAATCAAATTGTTGCATGGTTTCAGAACCTAAACCAGTGACAGTTAAAAGAACAAACATTTCCATTATCTTGTCAACATTTTATTAGCCATCACTCGGTATAAATCATGTCACCACAGTGAAATCTCTGTTGAAGATTGTCGTAACTATCGAAGGCGTTTGGTCAGCTCAGGGCAGTACACATAGCTAGAGGTTTCGATAAGAGTGAGGCATCGGCCGACACTGGGCTGATCTGGCAAAAGCTAAAACTTGTAGGACTATTAACAAGCACAGTAAATCTCAACCCCCAAGTGCAAAGTATCAAATTTTAGCCAACTGGATAATCAATCTCACCAACAACTCAGAAGTGATAGTTGGGACTACTCATGACCACCAAGGCTGTATAAAGAAAGAGTCCTATAGAAAAGGAGTCAGCAATTATCATATTAAATAAATTATGCCCTTTACTAACAATAAACTTATCATTTTACCCAGCAGACTAATAAGTGAAAGAAAAAACCCACAGAAAAAGCATACAAAGAATTGATTTTCCTACGATTTCACACAAAGATTTGTGCCAGATACTTTCTGTTTTTTTCAACTCCACTGAACATAACAAATTTAAAAAATAAAATAATTCAAGCATAACCCCGGAAATAAGAACTAATCATTTATCTTTTTAAAGTTTGCTCTCCAACAGACAAAATTAAACCAGGTACAGTTCTAGTTGACAGTAACAACGCTGCACGTTACATAGTGAAACTAGAGACATTTATGTGAAAAGGATGGTGCTTGGAGCTAGCAGGGATGCCACTTGACTTTTTTTAAATAGCTGAAAATCCACACGCGAAGGTCTCGTTAACATATGAATATATCAATTTGAAACCCAAAGGGTTTTTCCATAACTATAGATTCCATCTCGATTTCAATAACGGAATAGCAGATCAGGATCAAAATACCGGAAATACCTGAAAAAAGCGGCATCCCTGAGCGAGGTTCTATATCCATTATACCCATCCGTTGTTTCCGGGTATTGTCATGCCTAGACCTGCATGTGAGCCTCAACCAGATTGTCTGAAAATTTTGCACACCTCCTCCCCCCAAAAAAACTAAAGAGCTTTTAAATTGTGGGTGTTATAAAAGAAAAGACTTCCGAGTAACGAGCGACCATCCCAACAAACACTATAAAGAAGAGACCTAACTCTAACCCTACCCCATAAAAGAACCTGCAACGGCCCTTAAGTAAAAAGGCCAGCACAAGTTTAAAAAAATTAAAAAATTTTAAAGCACACTCCAAAACAAACAAGGAGCATTTAATTTTAAAAAAAATTAATATGGCCTGCATAGCTATAATAGGGTTTAATACAATAATACAATAGATTTGGAATATGAATCCTCCATATAGTTATAGATCTAGTAATCTAAATAAATCTCGATCTAGATCAAGTAGAACAAGTGAATAGGAATTGGCCTTGAACGAGAAATCCGCATCCGATTCCGAACAGATGGACTCAGCTGAGTCCAGATCTAGATCTAGAATTCTAGATTCTAAGTAAATAATTCACGCACCTGATGAAAAGCGTTTTGCTAACATAAATATTACAGCACAACCTATAATAGGGTTTGACACAATAGAATTGAAATATGAATCCTCCATTGAGGTCTATAATGATCTATAAATCTCTATATGTAAAGTAGATCAAGTGAGTCGGACTTGAATGAATCCACATGATCTGAACAATCGGTAAACAAACTAAATTAAAATGGCCGCTCCAGCACGAAACTGAAAGTAGATAATTTAGGTCTTCATACTTTTTCGCATTCGTATTTCTACTCAGGTTCTGACAATTATGTCGGAAACGCCGACGTCCGCACAAAAACGAAAGTGCCGACAAAGCAGAGGGCAGAAAAAGGGGGGCGCTGGCAGTCGGCCAGACCTCGCACTTCACACATTGACTGATACAGGTGGGCCTAGCGATAGCATCGGCCGGCTCGCGGGTCAGGTCGCGATTGTTTGATTTCAGACGATTGTCTGCAAACATGCAGATCTACATGCCTTTTCCAAGTACTACATGACCCCTTCTGAGTCAGAATGTTTCTCTTTTCCTAAAAAAATTATGCTAATCATACGCTGATAATGTCAGCCCTGAACTCAAGAATGGCTTACCTTCCCAAACCAGTTCATTAAGAAGATTTGTTTCATGGACACCTCATCTGATAACACTTCCCGATCACAGATCACTTCCACCTGAAAAATAATGTCCATTTCATTATTACACACTGAGCTGAAGAGAAGAGATTGTATATGCAATGTCAATCTCATAGTGCCATCAAGAAAAGCAAGATGACAATTAAGAACAAGAAAGTAAAAGAGAAGAAATTAAGACCTGTTATTCACACCACTAAATGGAGGCAGGGAAGAAATTAAGAACTTTTGTCTGATGCAAAAGGAAGCTCCTCAGTAAATAAATATTTTTGGAGTTGAAAGAAATTTTTCTTTTAGTTCAAATCATGCCATCATTATATAAACATGAGAACAGTTATTTTCCGATAAACCCTCTGAATAAAAGTCACAAGTTGTCCCAATAATATGAAACTACTATTTGTACCACAACTCTTCTTTCGCATGCTGCTCATTTAAAGGTAAAATTATTTTCACATGAACCCAACATTAAACAATATAATTCATTGAACACAATTGTTAATCTAGATGAAAATAAAGAGAACCTGAACTTCAGGTGGAATTAGAAGCTTTTTGTAGAGCATAGCTTTCAGATGTGACACGAGCACTCTTATAGAACATCTCAAGAACTTCCTGTCCAGAGGTCGCAGGGCCAGGACTTTTCCTCTGTGCATGATTCGCTGAGACCTGTGAACAGTTTTTAAAAAAAAGCTGAAATGGTATAGGTTTAACACCCTATCAGCACTCTTAGGTTATTTAAGAAGAGGTGGGGCCTCCGAGTTTAATGTTCATCTCCGAAAGGACCGAGCCAAAAGGGACTTTTGTGTAAAGTGCCTTTTTCCAAGGATACAACATGAGGCCGAGCTGAGGCTTGAACCCCCGAACCCGCAATCTCACGATTACGAGTCCGGTAGCCTAACCACTAGGTTACCTTTTCGTTTTAGTTTTAGTAGAGGTTTTACGGCGCTCACAACTGCATAAGGTCATATGAACGCAAGAAGATTAGAAGTGTTACAAGAGAGTAACAAACATATAAAAGAAGGAGGGGAGATAAGGACAACAGATGTTTGTTGATTGGAAAGAAGAAGCAAACCACACCAGAGCACCCACCAACCACCCACACTAGGTTACCAACGCTACTGTGAACAGGTTAAAAATAGCAGAAGCCTCGGGGAACAATAATAATTCTGATTTTTTAAGTAGACCTGCCAACCACTCTATGTCCTAAAAGAGGAATCTTCCTCAAAATCAGACTCTCCAGAACCCCAATAGAATAAGATTACATAACAAACTGATCATAGCTTTTTAAATGTGTGTAATGCAAATAAGCAAATAAAATTGTATCTTCCTGTCACTTGCCATAAGTCACATATGACCCTTCAGAAAAGGAATTTCACCAAAAAAAAAAAAAAATTAAATAAGAAAAAAAAAACAAATAAAAAAAACGATTGGGGTACTTTGGCATGCAAAAAAACCCCAAAAAACTGGAGGCCTCCAAAAATATCAGAGTAATAGGCAGATCTGAAGATTTTACCCACAGGTTTCAATAGAATATACAGCTTCTTTCAGAAATGGGCCCTCACCACAATAAGATGAGATAAGATAAGATAAGATACATCTTTATTGTCCAGATCCTGGCACATTGGTTTGGTGTTCCACCACGAGTACACACACACACACACACGCACACACACACACGTGCACGCACATGCACACACAAGTAGGCTTACAATCGCATACATAATATAAATGAGCAGCAATATAAACAATAATAATCGTAAGCTAGATACACACTCAATGTTATTTTGATGCATGCTCTAAGGTCGTAAGTACACTAAACAAGATAGATGGTTAAGATGGAAGCATTTTGATAGATGATGGTAAAAATGACCTTCTGTATCTTTCTTTGTTACAGATCAGAAGCATGGGTCTTTTACTTCTGACTGATGTTTTTATTTGAGGGAACAAGGGATGTTTGTTGTCTAAAAAGATGGAATTAATTTTCTTAGTGCAAGCTGTTATATAAGCAAAGTGAACACACCCGGTCGCCACAGAGTAGCGCCCTTATGCCAATCATCCACCTCTTTCACCCTGGAATTGGGCAAGGCTGCTAAGCATGGCTTTCCATCTGTCTTTGTCCTGGATGATCTTCTCCACCTCCAGCCAGTTGTGTCTCATATGCCTGAAGTCTGCTCCCAGATCTCGCTCTCAGGCGGATCTCAGCCCTCCTCTCTTTCTTTACCCCCGAAGGTTCCATGGAAGGCTTTGTCTTGTCACATTGTAAGCTGGCTTCCTAAACATACGATGTCTATTCCACCCCATCTTTTTTTTTTTTTTTTGATCTCACAATCAACTGGTTTTTGTTTGGTTTGCCTTCATAATACTATATCACTGATATTGTCCGGCCAGTGGATTTTCATATATTCCTCAGGAAATTATTAATGAAAGACTAATTTGTTTACTATCTGCTTTTTTAGTCTCCATGTTTCCAATGCATACAACGATACCTTTTTTTTTACATTTGAATTGAAAATCTCGATCTTCGTACTTGCCCTGATGCTTCCCAATCTCCAGACAGAGAGTAACTGTTGGAATGCTCCCTTTGCTTTTCGTAATCTTGGTCTTGGCATCACAGATTGTTCTTCCTGTGCCATCCATGATACTTCCTTCACAGATAAAAGGGGTCACTTCCTCTATGTGTATTTCGCTGACCTTAATGTCATCTTTTACACCTGTGCTGATCTTCCGAATTTTTTGACATGGGTCCTGTCTATCTTTAAATGTGAACAATGCAACAGTACACTCAATTCATTGACCAAAAAATGTATTCACAATTTTCAAAACACTGCTCAGTTTATTCCAGAATCAGGTCCTATCCATTTTTAAATGTGAACAATTTATCAGTACATTATATACATTCACAAATAAAATTAAGGAACTAGATCTCATCTATTAACTGATTAATAATTTTTATACAATAAAACTACAGATCATTTTCTCTGAAGACTAACCTGTATCGCTCCAAACAGAGACATATTTGTTCATCATTTTTGTAAAGGTGACCATCTGGATTGTTAATTACACTAGACAACTTTGGAGTGACGGGTTCCTCTGAAAAAGACAAATATACATAAAAATACGAAATAAAAAACATGGTTAAATATTCAAGAAAAACCAATGCAAATGTAAAATCCTACATACTATACATCAACCTGCAGAGTATTTTTTAAATCCAGACTAGATACATACACCATGTAACCCACTAGACCCAATTGCTGCAAACGGCCAACCAACTTGCTCGTACAAAAAGCCAATCACACGTGAAACATATATATTTTGTTCATTGATAACTCCCTCAGTTTTATCTTAACTGGAGCAGCAATCATCCCAACAGGTAGCAAGTCCTCTTGAACAGAATTCTTTAAAAATACAGATTGTGTTTTAGCTTTAAACTCTAAGGCAATATAAAAGTAAAAGAAAAAAGTACCAAAAAGTGACTTTTCGTGACCGGTGGGCCAGAAAAAAATCTTTTAAAAATCCCCCCCCACCCCCCCTCTTTAAAGAGAAACTCAAGAGTGGAAAAGATAATGATAGGGCTTTAATTCAAGGTACAGGTTGTCTCAAGAAAATTGTTTATCTAATACAAAAAAAAAAGAAACTATGCGACAGCTAGATGCAATCGAATGATACTTTCAAATGGTACATTTATAATTCTACGATAATTAGGACCAAAGTGACAGACTTTTTTTGTGACCTAACTAAGCATACTCAAGTGTGGCATGCTTAACTGGTAAATATTTCAAATTGAACATAGTAAAGCTTTACTGTAATATATATATATATATATATATATATATACACATATATATATATATATTTTTAAAACAAGATGAAGTTGTTTGTTCACTTGGCAGAGTTCTATAAAGGCAGAAGCTGACTTTCATGCAAATGAACAAAGAACTAACCTGCTCTTGTTCCAGGTTTTTTATCTACTGCCATGCCTCTAGATTTATTGAATTCCTCCCGACGAAGTTCCTCATCTGAGATGAAATTTCACAAACAAGTTAATAATTAGTAAATTTTAAATAAAAAAAGTGTATGAAGTTTAACGCCCCTATGAACACTTAATAGGTTATTGAACTTCTTATCTCTGACAAGCCACTCTTCAAAGGCTCTTGGTTGAAACTGTGGGCTGATGATCCACTGGTAGTGGTTCGGGCACATTCATAAAAATTTACAACATTGATGTTTTATTAATTTTCAGCTATTGCAGAAAACAGTTCTCTTTTTATCAGTTCTTTCATCAGACAAAGAACTTTCAAAACAAGCTCATTTCTCTTGATTTAATGATGTTTATGTCACTTTTAGGTTTTGTACCAAAAGAAGGCTCCGGTACAATGGGAAAACCCCCCTCTGGAGATAAAAGAGTTCAGAAGTGATAGAAAATAAGTACTAAGCTGCACTTATGCAACAACTGGAATATGTGTTTCTTTTTAGTAGGAGTAAAATAAGGACACAGAAAAACTGAGTGAAATTAAGTCTAAAAAACACAACGGACCCTAGTTTCAGAGAGGAACAAAGCCTCGGAAAGTCAATGAGATCCAATTTGCATCCTGTAAAAAGTAATAGTTTGCAGCAATGTAAAGAAGACTTCACAAAGGCTACTTGCACCAAAAGAAAAATGTATAAATAACACAAGCTAACAGGATGACAAATTGTCTTTGGGTATTTGAGCATCAGGTTTCCAATATATATGCCCTTGATGTTGAAAAAAAAAAGCAAAACATCCCTAACACCCACTTGTAAGATCTTTACTTTGGTGGATAGAATTAGAAAGTTAAGTGCCATTTTCAAGTTTCAAAATGTGGGTCAGTTTCAAACCATCCAGTAGCAAAACAAAACTATAAAACATTACTGAAAACACCTGAAACATTGCTTTCAAGAATGTGAAGTTTTACAAGACCATATTTTTTTTAAACAAATCTTAAAAGGCAGCCGGTATTTTCACGAAATGTGAAAACAAAATTTATGCACAAAAAAATGACACGCATTTTCACGACGTGTTTTTCTCTTTGGACCAATCAGTGAACAGCTGGGTCAAGCCAGAGGGTGTATATTTATAGACTCTCTGCCCTTTGGCCTTGCTTGCCTTCCTTCTCTCACTCTCTCAATAAGAATGGCGGAAGCGAATCCCCATCCCTTCGAAATGGGACGGATTTTAAAATCATATTGTGAGTTTGAGGAAGAATTTCGGACGTATTGCGGTACAAAGTATATTTTTGGCAAAAAATCCTCTAAATCATTCACCGGCAAGAACAACACAATCAAAGATGAGTCGAAACACTACCCGGCAGAGTGGCAGTACTTCAAGTTCATCCTGTTCTTGATTTGCAAACATTAAGGTCGAGTGCGCGCAAATAGGCCAGATATACAACTTACTGCCGAGGGGTTAGATTCTAGATCTACAGCCCGAAAAGCAAGAAAGCAAGTGTGCCCCTCCCCCCCCTCTATCTCTCTCTCTTTTCAAAGATTTTTAAATACGGGTTGGGGCAGAGATGATGATACAAAAAGAAAGCCTACATGATTTCGGGATATAGATCTAGGCTACGGGTTTTGCAAGGGAAAGTTGGAAGCACTCTCGGCACCCATCGCATCTCAAATCCGGTGGTTTTGACACCTTAATCGGAATGGTGTTATTCAAAATTGGAAACCAGATCTAGATCTACCCAAAAAGAATTGTATTTTAGCTAATAGGCTTAAACCTCTGCAGTAAGAACCAGGATAATGTCTTTGACAGGTCGTGAAAATGCGCGTAAATTTTTTCCCCACGACATGTCGTGAAAATACCGGCTGCCACCTTAAAAACACACATGAGACAAGCTTTGAAAAGTGAACATTCACTTTCCATCAAAAATTAGATTTATATAAATGAGAATCATTTATCTTTGTCAGTGCTATTTTTCACTACAAAACTACATAATTCAATGTCCAGTCTCTGACATAACCAAATCATGTTGTCAGTAAAAGGGAGCATACAAACAACACAGTCCCACTGATACATTTTCTTAGCTCTAAACAAAAATGTTGTATTACTTTCAAAGAGGTTTGGAATCAGCTTGTACACAATGTCTTGCAATGTTCTGTCTGGCCGAAGCAGGAAAAGTGGATGCGTTTCATGAACCTTGAGCTTGCATTGAGGGCAGTGTTTGCAACTCATCAGATACTTTACTATGCAGCTCTTGCAAACTGAAAAATACCAGCATAAACGAGATAGAAAGATGAATAACAAGCACATACAGCACAGCTGGAGTAATATGAAATATGGATCGACCCAGAAACTAATGCTGATCAAGAGAACTAGAACAATATTTACTTTTAAATATATTACTTCTATGAAACTTTGTATCCCTGTCAGCCTAAGTTGGCCCTAACAGGCAGAGTTGAAGCCTGCTTCCTAAATGATCTAAACTGTGTTTATGGAGGTGTCATTAACGAGAAAACATTTGGGGCAGGGTGTGTGCGTGTAAATAGTATATTTACAAAACGTTCTACAGTGTTGGCATTCTTTAATCAAGAGTGATTTTAACCTTATTGGATCTAAACTATTCAACACCACTGAGATAAAACTGGCCTGAGCTTTGTCAAAAGAGTAAAGAGTGCAAAACTTACATGTGTGTAGGCATTCTGTGATGGTGGTCGCATCTATAAAATACCCTCGACAAAGGGAACACACAACATGAGGATTGATGTCCTGAATGCATATCTTTATGGTCTGAAAAGACAGAGAGAAGGGGATTCTCATGTGTCTTTTGACAAGTTCAACACACTAAACAATGCATGTTTCAATTCATACAAAAGAAAGGGGCATGTAATATAAAACAAGTATTTATTTTTACTCCAATGACAGCAAAAAAATATAATATACCACACAAGAAAATAAATTATCCATTGCCACAGTATAACAAATTCTGAAACTACATTGGAAGTGCACGGGTCAAAGTCAAAGGTAGAGATGTGGTTACAGTTGATGGATTATGACCAAACAATAACAGTGCACAGTTCAGTGACCATGATCTCACTGGCTTATTAAATTACTTTTAAAACATTTGTTAATTACACCCCCATTAATACAAGGCCGGATCTATTTCTCAGAACGTTTGGGAAAATAAACTTGAACTCTATTTCTCCGAACGGTTACCGTTCTCGAGATTTGTTGATAATAAGCGAATGGAGTGGCCCGTGTTTGTGTGTACGTGTGCATGTGAGTGTGAGTGTGTGAGTGTGCGTGTGTGTGTGTGTGTGTAAGGTGTGAACAGGTGGATGGTTGGGAGGAGGGGGGGGGGGGGGGGCGTAGAGGGATTTTTTTTAAACCTGAAGGATTTTAGATTTTGCTGAGAGACTAAATGCAAAATAGATTACTGCCAAGGTCGAGCATTCTTGTTTCATCGCAGTACTTTTTGAAGGTATTTTCAAATGAAGTATAGTCGCGAAAGTTGCCCCAACCACAACTGAAGTATCTGAATATTCAGACATTTAAAAATCTCTAGATCTAGCTCTAGAAATTGAATTTGACTAAAAAAATGCTTCTTCCCAGTCCTCGCCGAATGGCAGAATGAAAGGATGACGCCTAAATCTCGCAAATAACCCAAAAAATTTCGAGATCGGAAACCGTTTGGAGAAATAGAGTTCAACTGTATTTTCCCGAAAGTTAGGAGAAATAGTCACTTCGTTAATACAATTAAGATCATTAAGAAGGAGGCTTCAGCCCTGCCTGTCAGGGCCAACCCAGGCTGACAGGGATACAAAGATCCAGAAGAAAGACCCAAGATACTCGATAAAAGTTATTCTCACTCGGAAATCAAACTTGGGTCTCCTGCATGTGACAGAGAAGTGCTTACTGCTGCACCACAAGCACCGGGGACTTGCTTTTTTGCTCTTTCAAGACTAAGAAGTTACTGAAAGGAGATAAGCCCAACTATCATTTGGATGGGTATTATTCACCTGCTGCCTCAAAATTAGCAAAAATTTTCTCAAGGGACTGCAAAGTAAAAGACGTGCTTTGCAGTGGGGGAACTGGGAACCACTGAAAAACTATTTATTGTAGAATGCACCACAACATCGTAAACAACTGTCACTGAAGGACAAAAGATTGTTTATTTATACACTCTTTAAATGAGGCAACCAGAGAAGAAATTAATGTTCATGTGTGGTTTTCTTTTATTAAAAAAAAAAGATCAGGTTTCCAAAACAACGGCTAATAGTATTCAAAGTACAGTACTAGTTTTTATACAAGAAGCTATGAAAAACTAAATTCCCGTTAACAACAAAAAGAATTTTAATCCCTTTGTTTTTCCTTCTGTAATCAATGCATTTAGTCATGCTGACTTCATATGTGAGAAGAATTACACTGATATTCAGCCTATCATGGCCTATGTGGCATTGGTGGTCCATTGGTTCAGCTCTTGAACTCGCAACCGTAAAATCATGGGTTCGAATCTCGTCAGGGACCCCACATTGTGTCCATGGGAAAGGCACTTTGCACAAATTTTCCTCACTTCACACAGGTCAAAATGGGAACCCGGCTATTCCTTACTTTTCTTTAAAATAAAAGTATCTCTATGTTTGCAAGTTGACTCAACTGAAGAATGGGGGAAACTTGCAGTAACAAGGCTTTTTAAAAGAATAATTACGAGCTTTCCAATGACACTGAATCAGCACCAGACTTTTCAAACATTTCTTTCAGTTTCTATGACCATTTGCAAAGACTAACCACATTCTGATTTTTTCACATTCTAAGTGCCTGCGCACATCTCCAACGCAAAAACTAATAATGAATGTATTGGCTCTCCTGTGATTCCGTTATCTCTGCCTAGATGTATTCGCAGTTTTGTGTTTTTTAAGGGTCGCGTCTTTCTCAGTTGTATTCAGGCTGCCAGTATCTGTAGGCTGTAGGGCCTAAATAAAAACCAAACAAAAAAATAGTCTAAATAGTCAAAGACATGCTCAAAACCCATTTTGTTTTTTTGCAATACAAATAGGAAGGAAATCAAAACTAATTTAATCGCAGTTGCTGAAAATAAGAGATTTTACAACGACACAAAACTAATTTGCAAATTAAGTTGATGTAAAGTGAGACATGCCGCGAATAGATGCTCCAATCGTTGCTCCAGCTGAACACAGTTTAAGGCTCATGTGTCCTACTTCTATGTACGCCCCCTGCCCCTGTATTTCACCATAATCTGATGTTTCGCAATAAGTAATACTGAAGTGACTATTCGGACTCGAGTCCGATTAGACAAATATTATCGGACTCTGAATTGAGTCCAGCATGACTTCTGACCCCTGTTCCTATACATTTCCAGCATAAATTTAAGACATATTTTTCGATTATAATGACAACAATCGAATCGTGAGCTTTAATAAGTTACTAGATCTATCTAAACTGACCCTCCCTACATCATTAGTATGATGAACAGAACAACCAAATTGAGTTGACCTTGCCAGGGGGGCAAAGTTACTTATGTCCACCAATAAGAAGGCGCATTGCTGTCACGCACTCTCGGCTTCCTGGGGGAAGAGGTATTGGGAAGAGGCCACGGCTGTCGATTTTGTGTGATGTGATTTTTTTTAAAAACCCATTAATTACAGAAAAACTATAACATACGGACAAAATGAAATTAAACATAAAGAAAGACAAACGGTGGTGGAAGTAATGATAATGTGTAGCGGTGGTAGAAAGACCCTGAGTTGTCCGTTACTGTGTACTCAGACACTGCCATTGGGCAATGAGAGTGAGAGTGCAGTCTTTTGACTTTTGACACAATTACAGTCCTAATAGGCTACCAGTTGGTAATACTAGTTCTAATTCTTGTTTTACGTAAAATCCCCTGACGACAGTTACATAATAAGCATGTACCTCCTTCCACTCACACAACTCACTTAGAAGCTGAGTCCCAATATATATAATGTAAAACATTTTTTTCGGACCCGAGTCCGAATAGATAAAAAGGAAGTGGTTATTCACACAGGGTGTGCGCATAATTCTATTCGCACAGGGTCGAGCCTACATTGATTTTGGACCTCGTTTGTCACACCCGGGTATCCCACCTTTTGGCAAAGGCTGTACACTACTCTAGATCTACATCTAGTATAATGTCATATTTGTTTCAGTTTTACGGTAAAAGCATGCACTCATCTCTCTCTCTCTCAAGGCGCAAGGAAAACAAACAGAAAAAAAGAGAGATTTGAGTCATTATGATTATCATTACACAATACACAACTTGAATTCCAATTTGAGTGGGGGGGGGTTTCCTATCGAATTTCACAATTAGATTTAGATCTATCCCTATATAGACTAGCAACATTACAAGATTGTTCACTAAGCTCGAGAAGTGTTCGCAGAAGTCAACGCATTGCTTCAGATGGCGTTGGAGTCTTTATTTTGAAGCTCTCTTTCGTTTTTCCAGCAGAAGAATAAGCGTATTCTGTTAATTTCACTTTTATTGTTTTTCACACAAGCAGATCTTGGGTAACTCTGTTCGCAAAGTCTGCACTTTTTCAAAGAGGGTGCCACCAAATTTTGAGGACACTTTTATAATTGGGTCAAAGAGAGGAGTGAACTATCTTGTTGTCTTTGTCCCTACGTGATGAGGGGGGGAAAAAAGGAGGAAATGACTAGGCCCAATTAATTTCCATCCTTCTTTTGAAACGTCCTGCGCCAATATTTTGTAGTATTCACACACCCTGTGCGAAAAAAATATAATAGTATTCACACACCCAGGGCGAATAAAATTTCATAATATTCACACAGTATTCACCCTGTGAGAATAAAATTTCATAGTATTTCCATTGTATTCACACACCCTGTGCGAATAACTACAGCCATAGATAAAACCCATTTCGGACTCGAGCCAATAGATAAAAAATCTAATCGGACTAGAGTCCGAAAACAGCTAGGCAAGTAATTTTAAAGGTTTGATATTTTCTTGAAAACAAATGGCAGACAGTTTTAGTGGCCATGTGTTCTGCAGCCGAAAATGTGACAGTTTAGCCCCCCAAAGCAGCGTGTGCAGGTGTCAAAGTAGTCTCTAGTATTTTACCACCACACAGATAATTTTTTAAGGAAAATCAGATTGATAGAGGGGGTCAAATCTGGAATGGAGCTTGCTTTGTGGATGTTACCACCACAAATAACTCATCTGTAGCTGTGGTGTGGACATTTGGGGTATTGTAAGAGAAATGAAAACAAAATAAACAAGGAAAAAGTCCAACCAAAAACTGTAGACCGAGAAATCTAGATCTAGTAAGAGGTAAAGACTACTAGTAAAAGTTAAAGGACTAAAAATCTCAGAACTTAAATCACAAGCGGATAGCAAGAAAACGACAACTAAACGCCATTGGCCGATATTTACAGTAATAGCCATCTTGTTTGACGTCACTGAGAGATTCCCACTTTGTCAGTAAAGGTGGCAACGCGGCCGCATGACGGCAGCCTGCCGACTTGAATTATTTTCTTTGCAACTTGTCTAACTGTTCGGTTCGGTTGACTGTGATTGTGCAGCACCCTTCTTCCACCCAGACTGATTCTGATGCTGTACACTACATAAACTGAGAAGAAGAAGACTAGAAGAGTAGGCCTACGTCAATTTGGATATACGAAAGCAAGTTTTTAAAAAGTTCAACGACGCAGTGCGCATGATCGGTCACTTTGATCTGGATCGTTTCTTTTATTTAAGCAAGTGGCTATTCTCCGGCGTCGCGCCGGTCAATAGATCGGAAGCTATTCTCCGGCGTCATAACTAGGCCTAGTAAGTCTACCTTTCATTATATTTTATCTATGGTAATTGTCTAACAACTTTATTCATTTATTTCCATCGTCCATTTGCTTATTTCAAAATAACGATTCTGTTTATTTAAACGAACAAAATTGATTTTGTGTCTAGTCATATAGTATAGCTTGCTGTTTAACTTATTTCTTGTTGTTGTAATTTTAGATCAATTTAACTGATATGATATGTCGCGACTTCAGTGCTTTCTTGTCGTTTTCGGACTATTCGGACTCTAGTCCGAATATGAAAAAATCTTATGCGGACTCTAGTTCTTGTCCAGCATGACATCACTTCCGACTTCCTGTGACTCGTGACTCCGGCTTCCTGTCCTGCCTCACTCGTGACTCGCCTCAGGATGGGGAGAGACCGGGACCACTTTGGGCAAAATGGCGTTAAATTGTGCCGGAGCCGAGTTTTTATCTTATGATGAATTTGAAGCCGGCCTGAGAAGTTAGAGCGCTTCTAATAAATGTGTATTTGTCAAGCGGTCATCAGAAGCAATTAAAGATGGTAGCGTGTGTCGGGGTCGGATGGACGGTCTGCACACGTGTGGTTGTGTGTGCGTGTCGGGGAAAGAGGGGGGGGGGGGTTGCTATCGGTCCGGGCGTTGAACGTCGCATACGCGTCAGCCCCCCCCCGGCAGCTGATCATTATTACAATAATAAGCTAGTCTTGACGTAGATCTACGTTGTGAATTGTGTGCTGGTCTATGGAATCAAAAGTTGCCGTATATGCTCGGCTCTACACAGCAACACAACTTTTTCTTGGTAAACAATCGAGATGACACAGGCTTGTGTATTTGAACGAATCAGTCTTTTTTTTTTCCCAGCTCATAATATGCAGGTGCAGGAGATCTGCTAATCTTCAATTTTACCCTTTTCTACAACAAAGAAAGTGGGAAACATGGAGGGGAGGGGGGGGCGTATCAATGAGGTGGTGGGCATCGGATCGGCAGACAAGGTGTGGGGGAAACTAAAAAATGGCGGAAAATTGGAAGCACTGAACGTTAGATCTATAGAACGAAGACACTTCCTTTTTTCCGGACCCGTGTCCGAATAACATTTTTTCTTATTCGGACTCGAGTCCGAAATATGAATTTTTTTTATTCGGACTCGAGTCCGAATATGAAAAAATGTTATTCGGACTCGAGTCCGAATAATGACGGCAATCTCCATTTTTGTAAACAGTGAAAATGTGACTCCTTCTTATGCTCCCTCTTTGTTATGAACTCGCGTCAATAGTTGTGAACATGTTTCTTCTTGCACCCAACATAATTCTAAATTGGAGGAATTGTGGCAGTTTGTGTCTGAAAACCTATCGTCTGTATCAATGGAAGTGGCACGAAGTGGTAAAGTTGTGGGAAGTTTTTTCCAAGACAAACAGATGGGAGAGGCATTTGCAAATCTGCGCTGACAAATTATTAGTAATAGACCGGCGGCGCGGCGCCGGAGAATAGCTGCTGATCTATTGACCGGTGCGACGCCGGAGAATAGCCACTTGCCCTCATCCTGCGGGAGCCGGGTTTATGTAGCCCGATAAGCCTATTTCGGCACCTCGCCTGCGTTCTGGTCCCGAATCAGTGTAGCTCCTGGCTCATTCCGGTCCCGAGTCGGATCCCCATTCATGCAGGTCAAGTGTGGGTGCATCAGTCTGCTTGAGTTTGTGTGCGTTTGTGGCTTTCTTCTAGAACCACCTGCGTTGATTCGTAATCGAGGCATACGTCTCATTCAAAACATACCAAGTTGATAGCTCTAGATGTTCGTCCAATGAAATTATGGAAGAAATTGACCCACTTAGACATGAGGAGCTCGAAAGGATAGTCAGGAAACAAGACTTCCATTTTTCTACAAAATATTTCAAATGAGCTTGATTTTGTATGAAATGATACTACCTGATAAAAAATAAGCTTGTTTGATAGTTTTGAATACCCTTGTGCAGGTACAAAGAACAATTTGAGTGTAAAACATTCGGAAATTGACCTAAATGATCCCCTTTGGAACCTCAGGTCATTCATAACAACAAGAGTGTCCAGAAAGGTTATTCAAATGGGCGTAACTACTCGTAATGTCTTATCAGCTTGTGAGAGGGGGTTATTCATGTGTTTGTAACACTTTATAAATAGAAAGCTATGAAGGATAGAGCGTTATTTTCATCATCGGTTAACACACTCCCGCGGTATTCATGGCGAAAACACACGTTTCCCGGCGCGCGCGCTGTACACCAACAGTACACACTGAGTGACCCCGGCGGCCTGCCCGGCACGTCCGACGTAATCGGTTGCTGATAAGATACGCATCTGGGCACAGACGCATAAGAGTTAAGCACAAGAAATTTAGCATTTACAAGACATTGGACTCCATACGCCGCTGAGTAGATAAAACTATACGAAGGCTATAATAAGGGGAAGGAGCTTGGAAACTGCCTGGCTGCCAGTGCAAACTGCGCGCTACACAAAATAATCACTAATTTTTAGAATCACGATCAGATGACGTGGCGGGCATCCCCCTTGAGAGGTCAAACAAGATGGATGTTAGGCCTAGATCTAGCTCTACTATAAATATCGGAAGTGGCTATTCTCATCCGGGGTGAGAATAGAAAAACAATCTACCTCTCACCCCGGGTGAGACTTGCCAGCGTAGGCTATTCTCACCCGGTGCGAAACAAGACCTGCTTTTCCTCATTTTGGAATACTGTCTATCGGTGTGGATGATCAAATTGATAAAAGCCAAGAAAAAATTACGTTATAGCACAAAAGTTGTAAGCTAATTTGATCGTCTTCAAAGATGCTATGGCTATTTCACTGTTCGAATCGAGCCGAACTACGCGGGTCGCCATTTTGTTTTGCCTGGAAGTTCTCGCAAGATCTACTCCTCCCCTCTCTCTCTCTGTCTCTTTCTGAATACTGTCTATCGGTGTGGACGATCAAATTGACCATAACAAAGTTTAAAAAATGATGTTAAAACACAAAAGTAAATTAATTTGGTTGTCTACAAAGATGCTACAGCTATTTAACTTTTCGAAACGAGCCGAACTACGCGGGTCGCCGTTTTGTTTTGACCGGAAGTTCTCGCGCTACTCCTCTCTCTCTTCCTCTCTCCACTGCCCACAGACAAAATTGTACGCTTTTAGTAGGCTACAGTTGTATTGGAACGTTTGTTCACGGCACAGAATTCTACAATTTTTCTGTTATCACAATGTAGAATTCTGTGGTTTAGGGTGAACGCAAAATTTGTTGGCTGGATTGTACTTTACCGGACCACCCGTCTCGGTCCGTGATTACTACGCACACCTAGCCTAACTACGCTCTCATAGTCATAGTACTCTGCGTGCGGACAAAAGGTAGTTCCGCGGGCGACTTCGCGCACGCACAGCGCAAGCCAGCGGCAACTGGCGAGGCGAGGTGAGCGAGAGTTGGTGGTTGAGAGTGGGCAGGGGATTTAACTTTGGTGAACCACCGTGTATCATACCAACAGTGGGGAGGGGGAGGGGGGTTCAGGGGGGGATTGCCCCCCTGGAAACTATAATAAAGAAAACACACAAAAATGCGAAACAATAACATGAGCGGACAGTCGTGTTTACATATCAATGTAACAACAGTGGGGGGAAGGGGGGTTTCAGGGGGGCTAGCCCCCCTGGCAACAATAATTTAAAGACACTGACACCCACATATTATAAACAATAACATGAGCGGACAATCGGGGTAGATACTCGCCAAGTCGCGAGCAGGGCCGAGGGGGTTGCAATTATGCAAATGAGCTCTCGTGTGCATCTTTAGCCCTCCATTGTACTTTGCCGGACCAGGAGTAGGCCTAGGCCACCCAGCAGAGTTGCGAGCAAATAAGAATAGTGGACCACGTGATAAGATTGACCAATTAGCCTCAAGATGTCAGGGTCATGGGTCAAAGGGCACGGTCGTGATGACTGAAAAACCCGGTAAGAGACGTCAGTCGATTGCTGGCAGTTGAAGAGTGAGGATGTAGAAAACTGAGTAGGAGAGTGAGTAGGGGAGCTCGGAAACGAAGAATAGCGGGCCACTAGGCACCAGGGGCGCCATAGCGAAAGTAGTTCCGACCGGTGGTCCGGTAAAGTACAATCTTACCAATTTGTTGGCCTAGATCTAGGCTATAACGGTGAACGCGCACCGGGTGAGAATAGCCAAAAGACTCGCCTGCACTATTCTCACCCCGGGTGAGAATAGAGGTGGCCATAAATATCGGCCAATGGCGTTTAGTTGTCGTTCTCCAACTAGAATCTAGATCTAGATATAGAGTATCTCTAGATTCTAGATCTAGATCTAGATCTAGAATCTAGATCTAGATCAATCCACTTGTTATTAAATCTAATCTAGATAGATAGTGGCTCATGTAAATTCTATCAGGAACCTCACTTCGTCCATCACTGTACTGTAGAACTGTAGAGCTCAAAGGTGCCGCTTCGTGGAATTTGCTGGGATGTTGAGTAATGTCACAATACTTCAGCTTTAGCCTAACTTTAAAAAGTTCAAACGTAGCAAACTCTGCCTCTCACTTTGTCTCGGCAGATTCTCGACAACGTCGTGTCGAGAGAGCGACCTGTTTGCTCACTCCTGGCTGAATCTTGGAATTGCCGTCTCTTGATCTCTTGGAAATGAATGCATTGATGCCCAACACTAGGCAAACACAGGGTGCAATACCCGCAATAATTCTCATTCGATGTGTAAAAATACTCTATGAAGACAAACTGACAGCTTCTACGTCGTGTTTTTCACAATAAACAAGGGTCGGGTGCCCAACTTGACCACACCAACAACATCCCTCTGTCACCGACCACCGCCGTCACTCCGTCACACAAATTCGATCAAGTTTCGTTTCACATTCACTCACAAGCAAGCACCCACCCATGCTTTTGACTGATTCATGTTTTGTCACAAGAATCAAAATATGGTAGGCCTGGGCTATACAAAATAATTTGCATTAGGCTGCATTAATACAGTTTTGGGTTTTGTACATGGAATGTTTTTCGTGATTTATTACATTGAAAACATTTTCTAAATTGAGTATAAATGATTTTAAATGCATTTTCTCCAAATCACTAGTCAAATATGTTCCTTCACAACATTTACTTATATTCAATGCACTGCCTAAGTTCATAAACATTGTGTATAAAGTTTACCATAACTAAGGCTAGCCTACCTCCAAAAGAGTCTCCTCTCCGGAGAGAGGTATAAAAAGAGGGCGCTTACATTCAGCATGGCTGACTGGTGCAGATTACACTTCCTCCTTTGATAAACCTAGAACAGTTGTTTGGTGAATCAGAGCTACCTTGTCGGTAAGTTGTCTGCAACATTTTCGAGACCTGGTTATTCTACTTTATTTGGCAGATTTATGCCACTCTTTTCTGCTTGTTAGGTGGTTGGTTGATATTACTGACGATTACTGAAGAAGTAAGGCCTTTTTTTTTTTTACTTGTGGACTGTGGAAACGTAAACATCGACGAGTGGCATTGCCGTTGCACAGGATGGAGCATTCAGCCAATTCAGGAAGTTCAGAACGTATTGTCATTTAGATTTTCTAGATCTAAATCTAGATCTAGTCAGTGTTGTTCAGCCTACGTGTTTAGAATCTAGATTTAGCATTTTTCTTCCTGTTCCAGATAATGGCACAACGCCAGTTGTGACCAGCCAGAAGGTTTGTGACAGAGAGAGAGCAACAGTCCGGTGTACTGCACAGTAAGCCTACGGCAAGGGTACCACTTTTGTTTCCCTCAACAGCCCTAAAACTAAGGACAGTGACTGTACTGCTGACTGCTGTCTGCCCCCTACACGGGTACAGGTACTGAACATTGATTTTTGCACCTAAATTTACTTTTTTTTACCCGAAACTGGGGATTCTTTAATCTACAAGAAGTGATTGAAATCTATCTAGATCTAGATTCTAGATCTAGATCTAGATTAGATCTAGATGTTTCACTTTCGTCTTAGCCTAGCTGACTTAAAGTTTTCTCACTTTTTCATTTGACTGTTACCGGTAGGTTAAGATTTAATTCAGCCTTTGATGTCCCAGATCTGTCAGGAGATAAGTTTTCAAACAGCTTTTGAACCATTTCCTCAGCTGTGCTTGAATCTTGTAACTTCATACTACAACTACAAATAAGGAAGCAATCAGGGGTTGATTAGATATTATGATAGAAGTGTAGGTAAGTCTTAAATGTTTAAATTGAAAAGTTTGGGGTCAGTTTTTATGTGATGATGATGAAATGGTATATTTGTGTGATCATTCTCTCTTCACAATATTGGAGCTGATATTGCTTCAAAAACAAACAAAATATTTTTATTACTTATTTATTTCTGCTGAAAGACATGAAGCTATATTATAGCTATTGAGACCACCTGGCACACTTGTGATTGGCCCAAATATAGATGACTTTTTTCCGCCATCTTTTTTTTGTCGTCTTCCGGGGTTTCCCTCGCGAGTTGACTAGATCCATCACCTTTTATTATTATTCATTGAAATGCCGTTGACAATGTTATAAAAAAATTTAAAAACTCAGGGTGTTGTAAGTCGCTATTACCAAATCGTCTGTAATTTAATTCTGTTTATAATTATATAGATTATCAACATGTTTCAGGTATACTGATAAACTCTGATATCTTGAGGGATGAGACAAAAAAAATAACACTGGTTAAGTGTGATATTATGACCAATTGAAGATGAAAAATGAGAATGTTACAAGGTTGCAGATCAAAGATTGTACAAAAAGAAGAGACAATAGTACAAGTTTCCACACTTTGTCACTGGAATTCCGATGAATAATAATAAAGGGTGATAGATCTAGTCAACTTGTGAGGGAAACCCTGGAAGACGACAAAAATAGATGGCGGAAATATGTCATCTATATTTGGGACAATCATAGAAGTGTGTTAGGTGCTCTCTATAGCTTCATGTTGCTGAAAGTAACATGATGTAGTATCTTTTCTTTGAACAAGAATTGTTGTTTTTTTTCCAGTATTTTGTTTTTAACTTGAAGTAACAAACTAAAGCTTGAACTTCTAAGATTTATAATGAAATTTTTGCCTATAATAACCCCCCCACCAGAGAAAAAAGAAAGTAAATCTTAATTTGGGAGGGGTGAGGGCAGAGATTAAACTATTCTTCTGTAACTGACCACACTAATACAGAGGTCAGCAGCAGACGAAATCAGTATAAATGCATGCAGTAAACTTTTGAGGTCTGTCGCTTCTTTTTTCAGGCTTCTACTTCAGTTGGGCAGAGGAATTTAACTCATTGAAGGGTGCTGCTACCTGGCTGTCTTTTAAGAGAACGGAGGACTGGAAGCTATGCCAATGGACCAAGTAAACGTAGATGTCAAGTGTTCTCATTTTTATTCAGAGTGGAGTGATTTAAAATGTCTCAGTTTGATATTTAACGTAGTTTCTATTTTTTTAGATTGATCTAATCCATTCTCTCTTACAATTGACTAGTTTATAAGCAAGAAAGTTGATTGTCAGATAAAGACTGACATATAATCAGTTCATTAGAGTTAGTTATTAAATAATGTTTGTGGAACAAAGACTATAGCGGCACTGCATTCATACATAGTGTTATGCAGTATTTTTCTCATTGTCTGGACTCGTAAAAAATATCCCCTTTTAGTGGGTGCTGTTCTTTATAAAAGCAGGATTTTTTGTCATTTTTTAAAAATCAGAGAACTTTCTTCTTCTTCTTCCTCATTCTCGATGACAGCAGCTAGACAGTCAGTCCGATGTCGTGTACAAACTGTGTAGTTCGCTTTAACTCTGAAATCAGAGAACAATATCTATTCTCATAGAGTCTATAATTTGGTATGGAGATACATAACATTTAAGTCTTATCATTGTCAAACTGTTCAAATGTACAAAGCCAGAAAAGCAAAATATTTCAGGAGAGAGAAAAAGACTGTTTTATTGTTTTAACAATTGTAACATACATTTTATGTATTTTTTCTTGCCTTTTTTAAACATTTAGAAATTGAATTTCTACAAAATCTTTTTAACCACATGCAATGAATACCACAGATTAAGAAATTACAATTTTTTAAATTCAAAACTTACTTACTTTTAAACAACTGAACAACAAACAAATTTGAAATGCATGGCATTTTTCTGCCGGTTTGGCGATTTTTTTCTAATTTTTGTTTTTTTGGCTCACACCCTTTATGTCTATTTAAAAACACACTTTGTGTGGATTTTACTCAAAGACATTGATTAAAGGCACGTAAAATATAACTTTTCAATTTTCAAGGACTCTCAAACTATGGGAGTCTATAAACTTTGGCGGCCATTTTCTCGCTAATTTTATCTCTGAAACCAGATGACCCCTTCCTCCTTGAGTCGCAAATATCTCGACTTCTATTCAAGATAGATGCGTCTTTTTTCAACAAAATCAAGGCAAATGAACACCATTAAAGTTATGATACACTAACAGTTCCACATGCCCAAAAATTGACCAGCACCTGATTCTACGGCATCATGACACATTTACAAAATATTTAACAGATTTTGTACTTTATCTCATGAAATTGATGCTATACGCGATACAATTTTGGGGTAAAAAATACTTTTTTTTTCCTTTGTCGCCTCTGGGAACATGCTAATGAAGCTAAAGCTCATAAAGTAAAAAACAAAGGAATCTGAAAAAAATAATACTTTGTATATATGTCTGCTCTGGTAAAATCCCAACATTTTGCTTGATTGTCATAAATTCTTTAGAAGAGCAAAGATACTGCTTGAAAATGTAACCTTACATGAGAATGAAAATTGGCTGGGACGAAAATGGTACAAAGTGGCATTGTCCACCATTTGATCATCTGATCACATAGTATTAGTGACCCCACCCCCTTTGGTGTGGTCTGTACTCTCATTTTCACTTTACAATGTCCAGTAAATTGAAAATATCTGTAAGGCCTAGCACGTCTTGTTTCGTAGTTCTACACACAAAGCCCAGCACATTGCCAATGAATTAATCTAATTAAAAATTGGTTCTGCTGATACGTGTTTAATAAAAGACTTGTAAAACTTTTTTTTCTCAGACACTTACATGGAAACCAAATGATGAAGTTGTCTGTCAGTATGACTTTCCTGGAAGGTCTCGGGACGATCTGCCATTTCGACGTGGGGATCTGCTTGTCATCGTCAATCCCACTTCGGTATTTTTGTCTTTTTTTTCCTTGAAAGATAGAATGTGTAGGAGAAAAGAAAAGAAGTCAGGGTGATGTTGATATGTGATGTTATTAAAAAAGTGAAGAAAATTTGCTTTTTCTTCCTTGAAGGAAAGAGGCTCTTCAAGGTTGTAGTTAATACTATGTTTTCCTTATTCAATGAAAGAGCTGAGGCCAGATGGTTCTATACTGAGAAAGAAAATATTTTTCAATTTTTTTTTCTTTGCTCATTCTGCATTCCTGCTGCACAGCTTGTTTCATGTATTTTGTGTTAACAGTGTAAGGTGGTTTCCTGTGGTCTAGTTACAACATTTGTTTGCATATTGGGTTTTTTTTCTCCCATGAATCGGTTGTGCCCACAAATTGCTAGTGACCTATGCTGACAGCTGCAGTCTTTGTAGAATGCAACTATAGATTGCTATTCTTCAATTTGCAGCGTACAAGTGGGTGATTCAAATGAAGATTTCTTTCTTGTTTGTTTACTCAACAGGATCCAAACTGGTTCCGTGCAAGAAATTCAAATGGTGTTGAGGGCATGATACCAGCTAATTATGTAACGCTGAGAAGAGTTGTCACACTTCATGCAATGCCGTAAGTATGAATTTGTTTGGGTTGGGGGTTTTTTCAGGTGGGTACAGAAAGATTCCCCTAAAATTTTTTGTCTGAGGCGAAAACTGTTTCGACTTCTTCACATATTCAATTGGGTCTTTGACTCAAAATGTAAATTACTGTCAAACCTTGTTGTACCGCCAGCCCTAATTTCTACCAAGTTTTGCCAATGTATGAAAAGGAGGACCTGTATAAACATATGCGTCTTTACACCGCCATTAGCCATCCGCCAACTGTTCAAGTTGTGCAGTCCTTATTTAACTAATGTAAATTTGCTCGTCTATACCGCCAGCCAGCTGACGACCAGAGATATACACTGCACACAACACCAACTGGTTGGCTACTTGATAATCTTTCTCCTGCGAAAAAGACACAGAGTTAGAGAAAGAGAGAAAGAAGACTCTCAGCTCCGAACAGTTCCTACTTAACGTTGGGCTGTTGGGGTTATTCAACAGAGGAACCTCTTTGAATCGTCAGCACCACTGTTCCGCCACCTTCATGCTTATCCAAAGGGTGGCAACATAACGAGGTTTGACTGTACACCCATTCCAACAATTTGACTGACACAGACATATTTATATTTAGGCCATTCTCGAAACATGAGCATGGCTGGTAGTGTCTCTTTTCCTCCATTGTGACAAACAAGATAAACAGAGCATATGAACGAATTAAATTGTTTTAATGATCAGATATATTGTTTGATACTGTTCTTTGGCGTTGCAATGTCGGTGCCTTTCACAAAGGGTGGCCTTAAAATCCAAGCCTATGCAACTCTCAAAGGATACTCAGATTAAATATTAAAAGAGGCAAGTACCAACTGGGAGACTTTCCAGTTCTAATTTTGATGTGCTTCCACAGTAGATTAAGGGAATTTAAAGTGCTGCCACTAAACTGTAATATGATGTGTCATCAGGCAATGCTTTATTGCTGTAAGCATGCTCTTCATTATTAGTGACCCTTCTAGTTCTACATTGTCTCTTTTCGAAAATCAAGCCCCCACAACCATGTTACCAGTGTCGTAACACTACAGGCTTGTCAGCTCCCGCAAATGGAGTTGAACAAGTGATGATTTTAGTGTTAGAAGTGTTTTATCTGATTCTTCTCATCTCGGAAATGAGAAAAATTCTCAGTAAAAATGCAATGAAGTCGGAAGAACATAAAAATAATTTGTATGCAAATTTGGTTTTATGTTGTTTGAATGTTTCAATTTTTTTAACTAAGGTTCAGCTTAGTTTGCATTTCAGGTGTGTCTTCATAATGGCACTGACCTATTTTTCTTCTGCTTTTTCCCCTCCTGTTCCACTATTTTTTACACATATCAGTAATGGTCCATTCATCAGCCTTTGCAGAGATTTTTTTCTGAGATGCCATTTTCTTTTGGCACTATTCTTTAGAGAGTTATTCTGTGAACTACTCATAGAAAACTTGCCTGACTTCCTGTTCCTGTAATGAGTTTCATAATGAGAAAAGAAAAAAAACATTCTGAGATTGTTAATTTGTTCTTTGAGATTTGATATACTGAAATGAATTGTACTGAGTGAGATGTTGACAGTAGTGTGATTTCCTTAAATCTTTAGCTGGTTCCATGGCAGCATCTCTCGAGAGGAAACAGAATCTTTGTTGGGTAATCAGGAGGATGGAGTGTTCCTTATTCGTGACAGCATTCACTTTGTGGGTGACAGAACTCTGTCCCTCAGCAGTGCTGGCCGTATTGACCACTATAGAATTCTGACGGGGCCAGATGGCCAAGTATCAGTGGACGGTGGTGACTGCTCATTCCCGACTCTTGTGGAGTTGGTTGAGGTATCAGCTACACCTCCTCAAAATTGATGGCTGAATGTTCTGAATAACGCTTCTGTGTCTCGTGTAGACCTTGTATGGATATGATTGAATGAATAAAGGAGAAAATTGTTACCAGAATTTTAATGTTCTGAGGAGAACGTTCCCCCTGGAAATGTTTTATCTGCATTTAAACAAAATGTGCTCATCTGATGCATGCGCCTGTCTTCTGACTGCTCGAAACTAATGGTCATCGGCTTTGAGACTAGCAGATCTGAAAGATGCACGGTTTTCCTGAGACAGCTAGTAGCTTCTGGTCTTCCTGGCAACATCATGATAATGTTGGCAAAGTGCCATTTTATCCCAGTTGTGAAATCGTGCTGCAGAGAGAATCTGGTTATTTTAGAAAATATGCGAGAGGCTCACCTGGTGAGGAAAAAAAGTTTAATAGATGTAATTTTTGGTGGCAATTTAATTGCTTCTAGAATTTGTGCATTGAAGTACAGGAATGGAACTGTATGAATCCTATATTCCTTTCTTTTGGCTAGTGTTTAACTTGGATAGATCTGATTGTTGTCAAGTCCTGATCGTTTCATATATTTGTTTGAATTTTGGGGATCATCAAACTATTTGATTTTGTTGCATCGTGATATGTATTCATAAAAACAAATTTATTCGCGGTTTATGTTTGGATGGTTCTAAATTCTTGTGGGTTTTTTTTTTTAATCGATTCTTTTTATGGATGTTATAATTCTCTTTCACCTCATTTAAGTTCATCAATATGAAAGTTTGTTCTGACATTTTATTTGTACTTGAGATTTCATGGAAGATCATTGTTTTATGATCCCAGTCTTAAATCGTTAGATCACAAATGCGTCTTGACGATTGAAAATTAACTTTTGTAAAGCTTCTCTTGCCATTTTCATCACCTGACCACTTGATCCTCTGAGATAAGTTTTTTTTTAAAGTGACGTACTGTTTAGAAAGTCTTGTCATAGTCTCAATTGTCTGATCAGAATCTCCTCTCGTTGCATGGCATCCTCTAATCTTGTGTTCATCACTCACAGGTATGTTTGTAAGTGTGACTGTAGCTAATCTAATTGCAGATTGCTAATACCACAGCTAGTGCTGCCCACCAACACGCATGCTGTTTACCCTTTGTCTTTTGTAGATGGTTTCACGGTAAAATCTCCCGCGGTGAAGCTGAGCAGCTCCTGCAGCCTCGTCAGGATGGCCTCTTTCTGGTGCGAGAGAGCAACAACTACCCTGGAGACTACACACTGTGTGTGTGCCATGAGGCCAAAGTGGAACATTACCACATTCTAATCCAGAACAATAGATTGACCATTGATGAAGAGGTCTACTTCAAAAGTTTGGATGAGCTTGTGCAGGTAGTTGGCTTTGACTTGTGCTTCTGACGGCCCTAAAAAATTGTTTTGAAGCTGTATCACTGAACTCAGATTTTTTTTCAAACCTGTGTATTCAATTGTGCTTGGGGTTCTAATTTTGTCATTGGTTGCGATCATGTTATCAATGGCCTTTTCAAGGCAAATACATTTTCAGATGGAAATAATGCGTCTATGTTTAGGCCAATATATATACATTCAAAGTTATGTTTTTCTTATTTGTAAGTGTTAAAGCATCAAGGAGAGTCAAAATAACATAAAAGGTTGTCTCAGTCTCTTCTTTTTCGCTTTCCCTGTGCTAAAGCTCAAGGGTAATCAAACGCTGGTTCTTCAACCTACAGTGCAATAGATTTTTACGTATGTTACCATTTTTCATACTTCATAAGGCTGCCGGAAGCTGACAAAATGCCTTTTATTTTTCTAAGCAGTTTCGAACAAAAAAGTTTGTTTTTATCAGCATAATCATTTGAAGATAGAGTCATTCTGAAATTTGAATTCTAATTTATTCAAAAACTGCGCAGCTTCAATTTGATTTTTTCCCTCAAGTAGGGTAACTGATCAGGCTTACGATTTAGCAATTAAAAGATTTTGGCTCTAAAATGAAAAAAAAAAGGTGTTTTGTCAGCTTACGGCAGAGGGTCTCTTACCTTCAGGCAGCCACATTCCGATTTTGAAGGTACTCTATATGCTTTTATACTAAATAGGGTATTTTCAGTTTGGTAGGAATATTAAGTTTGAATTATTGTGGGTGGCAGCCGATGCCTACTCTTATCGATGTTAGGACCAAGGGATATTTAATAGGTACCAGAAACTAAATTTTCAAAGTAGTTGTATGCCAAATTTATAAGTTCCATTTGAAAGGCCTATATCCACTGAGCATTTTGGTACCATTCTTTAACCTCTCTGTCAATTTTTAAGAAAATGGTAGTTGTTTAAAATTTGATCAAATTTGTTAAAGTCAGTCACTGGCTGCAACCCCATGTTTGACAGACAATAAAAGAGTACCCAGAGCATTAAACATCTCCACATTAACAGAGTACAATCACTATAACAAATATATGGAGCCTAATTTTTTTAAAGACTGTGAGATCATTACAAATTAGTATTTTATCGCCTCAAACACGATGATCTGTCGTTATTTCGACAAAAACACCAAACGTTGACCCGGCCGGCGCCACATCGGGCCCCGCGGCGAGCGAGTCGGCTCTATACTGTAGTGTACCCCGCGTGTGGGGTCACATGCTTTCTGAGTCTCGCGGAAGGATTGATGAATAATAATTCCAAGCTAATTACTTTATTCTAATAGGAAATAAACTGATCTTTTATTAGATGTATTTTTTACGCCGGTATTTTACATATTATGGGTAAAAAGTGATCTTTAAACATTTTGACAGTATTTTTAGAAGCTTTCTGTTTAGACGCCAAAGGCAAAACACATACCACGGGAAAGCCCGTTTAAAGCTCTACAGTTCTCCGCCAATGAAAAGACGGTATTTAAACATTCCTCGTTCCGCGAAGCATTTGAATGCACGCATGTCAATTTTTCAACCGGCCGACCACGCATTCCGACCGCGAGGGGCTTCGCTTTCGTCGGCGATTCTCCAGCTCCTACTAATCGGACATAAAAACAACTTACACCATTGTAACGAGGAAAAGCTGAACTTTTACAAGGTGTACGGCACTTGGTGTTTTATAGCGAAAGAGCAAAGAAACAGCGATTGGAATTACCCCGATTTCACCGATACCACGCAGTCGGAAGGTCGCGAGTGCCCGAGAGGCCGTGTTTACGCTACCTATATTTAACATGAACAATTTGCCTACGGGGCTCTAAGAATTTTTGCCCTTATCCGAGATGGTTAGCTGTTCAATCTTACCTACCTTAAGATCAAGAGTGTGGTTGGTAGACAGCAGTAAGAAGGAGCCAGGAGTCACAGTAGATACAGTCATGAGTTAAGGAGAGAGGTTCTCAGAGGAGGTCGGGGGGGGGGGGGGAGGGAGGGGGGAGAAAATGGAGATGAAAGCAGAGAACAGAACAGGAACAGAGGTGAAATTGGAAATTTTGTAGAGAAGAAAATTTTTTCATCACTGTCCGGTTTTGAACACGAGACCTTTTGAATGAGAGGTGAATGCCGCACCTCGAGACCATGAGAGCCCTTAGTTGTTTCAGTAGTATGTGCTTAAGGTTGGAAAAGCATGTTAGCTCAAGAATGAAATGGTGCTGGTGCTAACAGCATGCAATATTGAAAACTAAAATAAATGTATGAGTTGTTCATCTGTACTTAATAGGGACCCATCGGTAGAATAACTGTGATGGTAGTGTTTGTTGTTGTTGATATGTTGACAAAATGTAACACTTGTTTTTTGTTATGCGATTGATCGAAAAGACCCCCCCGAAAACTTAAATAACTCTTCATTGCTTCATCCTTTGCAGATTGCCTACTGTTTATAATTGCCTCATAAATTCTTTTGTGGTTATTTAATTTTTATTGATGAAAGTAAAGCATTTTAGCACTAGTTAAACAGTATTGGCTCATAGTAAAATGTTGTCTTGGTGTTCACATTTAAATATTAGTACAAACAGATGAGTTTCTCTCAAATATGTTGGCTAAGGTAGTTAATTGATAATTAAACTGAAACTTTTAAGTATGATAATGAATATGATTTTTATTGCTGACATATGTTAGAAGGCTTCTCATAAACCATTCTCTCTATTTCTCCTGTGTGTCAATTATCATGCTTGTTATTCAGCTTGTTTTCTTTTGTGGAAGCTGGGGATGAATGTTGTGATATTGTTTTGAACAAACGTTTGTATAAGCCATAAAATATACATAATTTCATAGAAATTGAAGAGACAAGTTCAAGATGTACATTTTTCGGAGGTCTTTTTGGCTGTCCACAATTATGTACAATATTATGACGTATGACATTTTGAATTGAAATGTTGGGTTGCTAGTTGCTGGGGATGTTTTTTGTGGGTTTTTAAAAAAAATTTACTGTTAATGCAAATTGGCTGTCTTTGAGTAGCATTTCTATCGTATACGGATAATTTTTTAAAAATCGAAGAAATTCTAATCACTTCAAAGGTTTTTTTGGTGTGTCTGTTTTATTTTAATCAAATGTATGTAATGTTTTCCCAAAATTTTTCAGTTGACTCTTTGAAAAAGTCCCTTCTCACATTATACTTTCCCCCCAACCCTGAAATCCTTTCTGCAGCACTACACAAGTAATGCGGATGGTCTGTGCACTCGACTCATAAGACCTGTGAAGAAAGCAGGCGATAGTTTCGGCACAGTCAGCATACAAGATTTTCGAAGCGGAGGATGGGTCATCGCAAGGCAGGATGTTGAACTGGGGGAACTGATCGGGAAAGGGGATTTCGGAGGTAATGGATGGATCATGTTTCTTTAGAGCTTCTATTTTTCAGTGAAAAAACACTAACAAAATCTCTTTTTGTTTATTTTTTGGTCAGTTTTATAAACATTATTTTGTTCTTCTTATTGTTTACTATTTTTCAATGGATTTTTTGTTGTTGTTTTGTTAGATTGACAAGGGATTAATTTTTAGAAGGGAAGTAAAGCTTAAAATGCCTAGGGTTTAAAACAATTTTGTCCTTCAATGTAAGTATGTGATGGTTGTGTTTTCGTCTTCATTTACAATAAAAATATATTTAACGGAAGTTCTGATCCTGTGTTTAAGTTGATGGCAGTAAAATTGTAATAGATAAGAAAGTACATTTGTCTGTTTATTGTTACACTCTCCAATTGCATGAATTTATGTCTTCTTTAGTGCAACTGCTTGTTTAAAATGATACACGGGAGCTATATTAGACCTGTATGTTTGCCTACAATCGTCTGAAATCCGACAATCGCGACCCGACCTGCGAACCGGCCGATGCTATCGCTAGGCCCACCTGTATCTGTCAATGTGCGTAGTGCGAGGCCTGGGCGACTGCCAGCTACCCCTTTTTCTCCCGTCGGCTTCGTCGGCACTTTCGTTTTTGTGCCGACCGCCGACGCGCGCACCGCCAACTGCCGACGTCGGCGTTTCCGACATAATTGTCGGAACCTAAGTAGAAATGCGAATACGAAAAAGGACGACAACTTAAATTATCTACTTTCAGTTTCGTGCTCGAGCGGCCATTTTGAATTTCGTTTGTTGACTAATTCAATAAAATTGTTCAGATCGTGTGGATTCATTTAAGTCCGACTCTCTTCTAATAGAATCTAGATCTAGGTCTAGATTTATATAGATCATTAAAGACCTTAAATGGAGGATTCATATTCCAATTCTATTGTGTCAAACCCTATCATAGGTTGTGCTGTAATATTAATATTGTACTAAAAATAAGCATTTCACCAGGTGCGTGAAATATTTATTTATTTAGATCTAGATCTAGATCTAGAATCTAGACTCAGCTGAGTCCATCTGTTCGGAATCGGATGCGGATTTCTAGTTCAAGGCCTATTCCTATTCACTTGTTCTACAAGATCTAGATCTAGATCTAGATTTATTATTTAGATTACTAGATCTAGATCTATATGGAGGATTCATATTCCAATTCTATTGTGTGGTTGTATCAAACCCTATAGCCTATAGCAATGTAGATGTAAGCCATATAGATCTAGATCTATATGCTCCTTGTTTGTTTTGGAGTGTGGTTTTTTTATTAAAATTTTTTTTTTCATTTAGGACTTGTTTTGGCCTTTTTACATGAGGCCCGCACCATTGCAGGTTCTTTTTGGGGGTAGAGTTAGGGTTAGGTCTCTTCTTTATTGTGTTTGTTGGGGTGGTCGCTCGTTACTTGGATGTCCTTCCTTATGACACCCACAAAGGCTTTTTTTTTGGGGGGGGGGGGGTTGCGCAAAATTTTCAGACAATCTGGTTGAGGCTCACATGCAGGTCTAGTATATGCCTCTGGTCTTTTTGCCTCTTTCTCTTGTGAGCTGAACCGAGACAGCACTGAGAAGAAACTGATGTTCTTCCAACACCATTCGACGGCTTTGTATGCTTGACTTTTCAAAATTGCATATGTCAGAGTCTTACACTAGGGAGTCATTTGGAAGAATTTAGCCTGTTGTCTACCACTAACAAGTCCTGTGCAGCACCAAGTGCTCACACACTCACGACAAAGGGTGACAATTGATCAAGCTTTACGGCCACTAGTCCACTATCAACTTTCTTGTGATTTATATATATTTTTATCTTTAGTACCGAATCATTTAAATATTCAGCGGCTTACAGAAGGCTTCCTATGCTCATTTACTGTATTTGTTAGAGCCTTAAGTCCTTTGCATTCTTTTTTCCAATGTACAGACTTGTTTTGGTTTTGGGGTTTGTTTGTTTTTCTATTTATGCTCACTGCTCATTTTGATTACACTTCCCCACCAGATGTGTACAAAGGAACTTACAGAGGTCAACCAGTAGCTGCTAAACAGTTGAAAGACAGAGAAAGGGGTGGACAGTCATTTTTGCAAGAAGCTTCTGTTATGACGTAAGTGTTTATGATTGCTATATCTTTGATGGAAAGATTAGATTGTGGTTTAGAGATGCCACAATAAAAAACAACAACTTTGGACAAAAGAGAGAGATCAAACTTTTGCTTTTTATTTTTAAATGTTTCGGTTTCGTCTTTTTTTTTTTTTAACCACTGCATATGCTATTTTTAATGTCAACTCTTTTTTAAATCTTTTTATTGAATTTATTTTGTTTTTACATGTTCAGCTTCTAAGTATTTACATAGCAACTATTTGATAAAAGTTCTAGAGCCATAGCTCCGTTTCAGCTCTTGTGAAATTACAAATTAAATTGTCAGTTGGTCTACAAATAAATATCATGAGGTTTTGCATACTAATTGTTCTGTTTGAAAAAAGACATCACGAGCCTGAATGCTATTGTGTACTAAAGCCAGTTTCCTACTTACGGGAGATTTTGTCACAACTGTTAAAGCTAGGAGAAAAATCTTCTCTTTGAGCCCAAAATTATTATGGTTAATGGCTACGCTCCGTTGAAATTCCTTATATTTATGTATTTTCTTCAGCAGATGGTTGGCAGGTGCTCTGGTGTGGCTTGCTCCTTCACATCCTTACCTCTCCTAATTTTTTTTTGGTGTGTTTGTTATACTGTCTTGTAACATCTCTAATCTTCAGCACTTATATGACCTTATTGTGTTGCAAGTGCCGTAAAACTCTTTCTGAAGAAAAAGTTCTGTCTCGTGTCCAGCGTCTTGAATTCAGTGTTTCCAAAGTGATTAAAATGAGAAAGAAGGAGTTAGAACAAGACTTGATCTCCACAGGAACTGTTGTTATGGGCAAGAGAAAGGCTTCCTTCTTTCCGTAAGCTGGATGAGAAAGGCCTTTAACTGGTCAAGGTTGATTTTAGTGGTGTATTATTTGATATAGAAAAGGTTTACCTAGGTTTTAATATGTGCATGCTCACTATTTTCTTCAGATCGCTTCGACATGAAAACCTAGTGAAGCTGATTGGCGTGGTCTTGGGGGAAACCATATTTCTTGTCACCGAGTTTATGGGCAAAGGAAGTCTGGTAGAATACCTGCGCACAAGAGGTCGCAATGTCATCACAAAGAAGGATCAAATTAACTTTGCCACGTAAGTAAAGGCCATTTGCGCCCCTTGACCGCATAGAATTTGTTGTTTTTGTTTTCGAATCCTTTTAGCTGCGAGCATTTCGCTCTTGGCAGCGCAATGCCTCCCTCAAGTAACTACATGTCCTTGATATGCATAGATTGTCCAAGTCAGAATAATTTGTATTACAGACTTGGCATGTAGAATAGACAGTTACGCTATTTTGCAGGTTAGACTTGTTCCTAGGTCATCACTTTATTACTAAGTCATGCCGGCAATAATTTAGTTTTTGTTATTAGAGCATTGACATTTATGGGGGGGGGGGGGGGGGAGATAATATAGTTTGCAACTGTCACCATGACAGTCTTAGAGTAATGACATTTTAACCATTATACTGTTGTGCTTTACTGTATACTTTTGTGTCCTATTAATGGTAGATGTTTAAAAAAAAATCTTGGCTAAATAAGGCCTTCAATATGTTTGCCTAATCTTCTGTTTGTTTTACAGAAATTTTAAAACTTTGCCATCATATTTTGGGGACAATCCTAAGAAACTGAGCGGTAGTAAACCTTGCCAATCGGCGAGATGAGGCGGCAAAGTGTTAAAGGCTGTTATTCTTTTATTTTTTTTTCTGCAGAGACACATGTTCAGCCATGAACTATTTGGAGAGCAAAAGTTTGGTGCACAGAGACCTCGCAGCAAGGAATGTGTTAGTTCATGATGATGGTACAGCAAAGGTAGGCATTGTTGTGCATGGGGTCAGCTTTGTGTCTTCCTTCATTTTTAAATGACTTGCATTTAAAAATAATTCACTGATATGGGGATGAAGGCACAGGTGTTGGGCTGCATGGTTTTTTTTACGGGAGACATGGCTTTTGATTCTTGCTCGAGAAGTCCTGTAAGTGCTAAAATATAGATTTTTTACTTTTTATATTACCTTTATGGTGAAATTTTTCTGAACGTACTGAAGTAGGTCCTGGACCAGTAAAATGATTAGCAAAGGAGTAAGAATATATCTGACCCTAATAAGATCGCAAAGTATATCAGAATATCTTAGTGTCGTGCCTTTGATCAAAATTTTTCAATAAAATCCTCACAGAAATATATTCTTAAATTGACATAAAAGGTGCTGAGCCAAAAAAAAAAAAAAAGCATAAAACCTGCCCAACAGGTAGGAAAATGTTGGGTTTCTCTGGTTTTATTATTTTGACGAGCTCCTGATTTCACCACGTTGCCATACAAGTGGTTCCGCTTATGTTAGTAGCTGGCTCCAGTAAGGCTTTACTGTTGTAAGCTCCCAAGCAGTAATTTTTTCTAGAGTCAAGGATTGCCTATTTCAATGGCAGTTGGAGCTCATTCTGGGAGCTCTGGTGATCAAATAATATATAGTTCCACAACTCAAGACAAACAAAAATGTGTTTTAACCATTTTTCCATTGCAGTTTTCATTTACATATATACAGTGGAAGGCTAAAACAGCACCTGGACATGGATGGCTGATGCCTCTATAAATAAATCATTGTTGGTCATATACAGTGGAAACTGTTTAAAATGGCCACTCATTGTTGGGGGGGAAAGTGGCCGTTTTAGACAGGCAGCCATTTTACAGTGCCAGTGATTGTCTTATATAGGTGGCTGTTTAGAGCAGGTTTGATCGTATTTGACTTGTGCTTGAAATGTTCTCAATTTACTTTTTCTCCAGGTGTCTGACTTTGGCCTGGCTAAATTTGGTGACTTCAGTTTATCTAGTCAGAGGTTTCCAATCAAGTGGACAGCCCCGGAGTCTTTAAGGAACAATGTAAGAAGATCTACTACATCAAGTGTATTGTGTTTGTTAAACGATTTTGTCTTTATTGTCTTAATAAGATATTGATCGCCTCAGTGTCTGAAGTAGACTGTCGAATAGTTCTGTGTGAAAGAAAAGAAAATTGATCTTAACTCTTTTTCTCGGGCAAGCCGCTCCCCAGCGGCTCGCAGTCGGATCTGCTGTGCCAGTGAGCGGCTAACAGCAGCTCTGGCACATCCCTTTAAGACGACTCCAACATCAAATTACTTTTCAGCAATTGCCAAAAACAGGTCTCTTTTATCGGGATTTCATTCATTTGATGAAGAACTATCGAAATAGGTTCACTTATTTTGATTTAATTACCAATTTAGTGACATTTTCATCATTTTTAGATTGAGTACCAAAAAAGGGCCTCGGCATAGTGAGTTTACCCCCCATGGAGATAAAGAGTTAATATACCAGAGAGTGAACACCTGCATGGAATATTCAAATCACCCTTTCCAACAACCTGTGGCCTTGAGGTCATGCTGTCTGGATTAGAAAGCATCTCCCTCTTTCAACTCACTCAATCCCTGGGGTTTCCCAGAAACGGGTCATTTGGGCACCTATATATATGCCCACTAGTAACCACAAATATCATCCTATTGCTTTGACAATTTTTCACAAAGCACACCCTAAGATGGAACTTTAACCATGTCATATTTGAAGTAAGTAGCTTTAGTAGTTTTGCTTTGGTTGTTGTACAAACTGGGCAGTAAAAAAAAAAAAAATTTTGTGTGTTTTTTTTATTTGAGAATGAGCAAGAGCAAGCCAACATTGATCTTCAAACACACATGAGGCAGAATTGGCAGGGGAAATAATAAATTGACCTTATGTAAAACTTGAGCCCGCTTTCCGAAACGAAGTGATTTGTATACGGAACAAACTACAGAACCGAGTTATCTCGGTTGTGGGATTGAACGCAGACCATGAGCTGACCGAGATATCTCGGTCATGGGATTGAGTGAGTTAAAACAGGTCAGCGGCAAAGCTTTTAGTCTCTGGTTTTGTTACTGACTCAAGGAAATATGCAGCTGTCATTCAAAATGTTGGACAGGAAATTGGCATATTAAATCTTACTGAAGAGTGAAGAAAATTTTTGTGTTCTATTGTTTCCTCAGATATTCACCAACAAGTCAGACATGTGGAGTTTTGGAGTTTTGTTGTGGGAGACGTACTCATTTGGAAGAGTCCCTTACCCTAGAATTGTGAGTTTATTAGATTCATTTATTTAAAGTGTATGTACTACTGCAAGGTCTTCTTTTGTCTGATTCTTGCGCAGCTAATGTGAATCGTTTTTTGTGGCAAATTCACCTAGACTGGTTTTAATTCTGTTGCTTTTATTTTTTTAAGCTGAAGGCTTAAGCAAAGAAGTGTCTGAGTAGACATGAAAGGTCCATGTGTGATGATATCTTAGCTGAGATGCAGCTTTCTCTAAAAATTGGCTACAAAGCATCTTTTCAGTTTATGGATGTCCCAGAGTAACGGAAGTGCCTTGGCTAGTCCTCATGTATTTTTATATCTGAATGGTATGTAAATAAAACCCATTTTAAACGTCTTACAACCACACATTTTTCAAGATTGTGTGACAAGGTGTATTCTGTTGTGTTTTCAGCCATTAGCTGATGTTGTGATGCACGTTGAAAGGGGATACAGAATGGAAGCTCCGGAAGGATGTCCTGCTGAGATATATTCCATCATGAAACAGGCCTGGGAGATTCGACCTGAAGCCCGACCCACTTTCCATGAAGTTCTAGGAAGACTTGACCACTTGAGATCTGTTACTGTATAGTCTTTTCCCCCCTTTCCCTTCCTCTAATATTTGCTTAACTATTTATAGAAAAGATTGGGGTGTATTCCATTTTTTTCTTGAGAGTGGAGCATAGGCTTGATGCAGTTTGCCATTTAGTTGTTGGATTTCATTTGAAGGGGTGCTTGCAAGTGATGGCTACAGTTGTTTAAAATTTTTAGTTCAGAGGTTGATACATGTTTTGTGCTTTTGGTATAGCATAGACCTTGATAGATATATATATATATATATATATATATATATATATATATATATATATATATATAAATAGGAAAAATCTAAAATTGCCTGTAATGTCAAAGGACAAAGAATTGTTCGAGAGTAACTGCAAGGTGTTTGCTGATGAACCAAACAAAAAGGCTTCTGTTATGCCCTTCAGTGTAGCATAAAATGTAACTCCTTGCAATGCCTCTGCATACTGTCAATTGTGCCTTAATTGGTAGAACATCATCTGAATCATATTGTAGTTTTTCTATTTCCACCAACTCTTGTCACTGCTGTTTGCTAAGTGCGACAAAAGTTATTTGTAAGACTGAACCAGAATGCTCTCCTCTTCTTACAGTGCAGCTCGGTTGGGGGAGGGGGGTTATTTTTGATAGCTGTAATTTACCTTTTTAGAAACTTAGTTTTACAGTTTAGATAGGTTAGGTAAGTGTCTTTGTAGGCCTTGTTCTTAGTTTCTGGTTGTTGTTTTTTTTTTCATCATTTAGTGAAATAGGGGTTGAAGTTTCTTCAGTCTGCCCTGATATGAAGGGTTATAGAAATGGAAAAGTTCTTACAGAGCTAAATTATGGAGTTTTTAATTATAATGCCTGATTTAATCGTCGTTTTTATCACTATTTAGACTATGTAATGCTGCACGTTATTTGAATATCACTTATACAATATACTAAGACTGCCATGTCGGTCAGTAGACCTGAATGTACTTTGCATGACTGTATGTTTTGTTAGTATTTTTTTTTTTTTTCAATGTCTAGAAAATAATTTTCTGCAGTACTTCCTTATGGTAGGCCTACCTGGGATTTTGAAGTGATTTTTCATTTTTAAAGAAAAACTGTTTTAACTAATTTCTTGTTTCCCTGTAGTTATAGTTACTTCATAATTTTGATTCGTGTGAAATGTGGGTACAAACTCATTAAATAAGAAACCCACAGGAAGATTTTAAAAAAAAGATTTTCTTGTTTCTGACATGTAGATCTAGTATGGGATGACATGAATAGCTGATGTATTGGTCTGTGTGATTCGGTAAAAGTTCTCTTCACATGGACACGCGTCGTGTGGTATGGCATGTTTAAAGGTAGCATGACTTGAAATTTAGTTTGTGTGCACCCATGCTTTCTGGAGTGTTATAGCGAGTATTGTGAGGTATTATCGCCATGAAGTTATTATTCGGTCATATTTTCGTCATGAGTGTGTGTATTTGTGAAGGTATTGCAGCGTTACTCGGTATTAATAGCAACAGTTTCAGGTATTTAAACATCCAATCAAGCTTCTAGGATTTCGCTGTAGCTATATCAATGGCAGTTTGCTTCAAATACTTCTGTGAATCTGTATTCAAACAAACAGCAGAGGACTATGCTCTAGCTTTTTTAAAACTTAGGCCGGATGAACTGACTGAGGCGACAGACATGTGTGTGTGGTTTCTTTGTATTACCGTTTTATGAGGAGTTTTACGGCACTTGCACACTTGCGACACGATAAGGTCATATAAATGCCGAAGATTAGAGGTGTTTCAAGAGAGTAACACTCAAAAAAGAAGTAGCGGAGATAAAAACGGTAGATGTTTGATAGGAAAGATGTATTACTGTATAGAACTTGTTTGTAACAATCACATATCATATTAAATTGTTGTTTCTATTTATCATGACTACTGGACTTGGCTCTATCAACTGCTTTCAGGAGATTTTGACTTACACTGATGTTTCAAAATTTCTTTACATTTGTACGAACACATAATTTAGTTCAGTTCGAAGGACGCCATTTCTGGCAAGTTGTCTTTTTTTACTTTGAAATATGGGAATACTACTGTAATGTAATCTGAGTATTACAAAACTTTAGTGTAGGAACGTTGTGAACCCTACTGCCTTCATGTCTCGCTAAACTGTTCCCTGAAACAACAAGCAAAAAATACTCATTACTAACAGATCTGGTTGGTCTCGACTTGGCGTGTTCTTTCTTTTTCTTTTTCTGAAGTTCAAGTTAAGAGACAAGTGAAGAGACACTGTATTCCATTGGTTGGGACTGGATGTTTCCCACCTGCCTATGTGCTTTTACTTACTCTGTTTTTCTTTCAGCACAGATTGTTGTTTTTTTGGACAAAGTACTTTCACCATATTTTTCTATGTGTATGATTAATGTTGTTGACAGTACCAAGTTAGACTTGCCTATAATTCTTTCTTGAATTTTCCCATCTTTATCTGTATATATAACAAAATAAAATGCACAATCACTTTGACAAAAGAAGAAAGGCCTAAGAAAAAATGGCTTATATCGCCACAGGTCAGTCAATCTAATGAAAATGCTTTTATAAAGTAATGGTTATGCTGAATAGGGAAAGGGTTGTTGGAGTCCAAGATAAAGTTAATCTTTCTGAAACAATGAACGTGAGTTCATTATGATGTAAACGCTATGTCCTTATTTTTGAGTATCCAATTCCCAGCAAATATCTTGAACTGGTGTTGATCCTAGTCTTTTTCCCCATAACCAATCCGCCTTTTCAGGAAAGCAGGAAAGGGGTAACTGAAATGCAATGTAAGGATGATGTTTGATTTGTAGCCTTGGGTTCGCTTGGTCTCCCTTTAAGCTTTATCAAGTTCATTGCAAGGATTTGGACCTGCAGCGTGTGTCATAAGCAACGTTCCTCCCATTCTCCGTTATTATTATTATGTATTTTTTATTTTCTTGTGAGACAAACAGGTAATTGAATGTTTAGCCTTTTGATTAGTGTAGTTAAGTTACTGCTGACTAGGCTAGTGATTTGTGTGCTTCTCCAGTTAGAACCAAAGTAAAACCTGCTGTGGCTTCGATGTTGTCACTTCTAATGCACATTTACACTTTATTTTTATTTTTACTTGGTCGTCATTGCTGGGCAGGGGATTTTTGCATGTCATAGTATTGTTTGCTCCTTCACATATCACACAATTCTGTAGAACTGTTCAGCCTGGTCAAACAGGTTTGTTTAACAGCTTTGGAACAGGTGTCCTTCCCAGTGTCCACCGCTCAAAAGTGCCAGCTACAGAACTGACTTTAAATCATTGTTCCACTTTGTGGATGCTTGTTTCAAATATATACCTTTTTCTTATATGTATCTTGCTTATTAAGTTTTGACTTTTACAGCCTCCAAACTGTTATTTGATCAGCTCGTTTTTACCATTATTATTAATAGTAATGTTTGCGGATAACTTCTGAACATTTTTTTAAAAAATAAACGTACATTTTCTTGAAACAATGTTTTTTCTTGAGTGGAAATACATTTTCGGAAAAGCTTTATACTTCCTTACAATGGAAGTAACAAAAGTTTTGATTTTACTATAACAACATTAGGTAAAGGTTGGGATGTAGGTGGTAGATATGTACGACAAGTGATGAAGATAAAGAATGTGAGAAACTTGTCATCTGTATAGACTCGTGATATTAATGGAGAGAGAGGGGAGTTTGGAACAGAAGTCATAGATGACACGTTTGTGTCACACACCCCAATTGTCCTGACAGGGGTTGGTCTTTTTCAGCTTGTGGAAAGTACAGAGACTGCCAAGTGTGACTTGTTACAAGCTATTTCAGTAGTTCGGAACAGCAATCTTTTCATCAATTGACCAATTTTAAGTCTTCAGAACCATGTTTCTTTTCAACTGTTATCAAGGAAGAATATTGTTGGAAGAGCAATCGTGACTGGTAGCTTGCATTCTGCAGGGTTTACCTCAGTTTTTGTTTAGGAATAACTTGTAATTGAATTGCCTGAACTAAATTTTTTTAAACCATCAGAGTTAAAATTTTTAGAAAGAAGATAAAGAAAATAAATCCCTATCTACACATTATGTACATTTTGTTTTCCCTGACAATTTTCATTTGAAGATGAATGGTTGGACAACAGGTTTTACTTGTCTTGTTGCTTCTTCCATCTGGCTTGAATTGCCATTTTTTTCATATAAATGTGTATTTGCATGAAATCTTGGCTAATATTTTTAAAATTTAAATGTTCATTCTACTGTGGTGAGCTTGTTTGACTCTTGGAGTATGTCTGTCAATGTGGGCATGTAGATCTTGGTTGTGCTAATTTCTTTGTACTTGGCCCAAGTGATGAAATGGGATAACAATTCACCACTCAGTATTTAATTCCTGTACAGTACGTGTGAGCATGGCAGAGGATGAATGATGAAAAAAAAAAGACACCCTGAAGTGTACAAGTTTTTTGTCCTGTCTGCTCTGTTTTGTCTTTGTGAAAGATCACAATGGCTCATGAACCTGAATGTGTGTGTGTAAGGTTTGGGATGTTTTCCATACATGTCAAAGTTTATGTGTGCTGGAACCACTTTTGTACAATATTTAATGTCATTTTTGTACATTTAACGTTAAAATTGTATATCTTGATCAGTTCCAGATTTTGTTGTTTTTGAACACCCTGGGTTTTAAAAATATTTCTTTGCTATATAAAATCTTTTATCTACATATACTTGAATATGTCAGTATAATGCATAAGTGGTAAAACCAAAATAGTTATCTTTTATGAAACGCTATTGTCACTATGTACGAATTACTGTGAGTTAGAATTTGATTTATGAAAAGGGACTACAATTTCAAGCTGATATAACTAACAGATGACTATTATCAGAAAAATGTTTAAAATTTTGTGATTGCAATTGCTCTCTGTGATTATCTTTGAGTGAAATACGTATTTAGGAAGTTGATTATGCAATGTATGAAAAATGCCACTGGAATTCAAGACAAATTTAGGAGTTAAGCCATATTGTTAAGTGTTTCGGCATACTATTTTTTTTTTCTACTTCAATCATTGCACTGGGAGCAGTGTTGTAATATTTTATATTTGTTAATGTTCTCTTTGTTCTTTTGTAATCAACATGGATTGACTGAGTATAAAAATATAATGAACAAATCAATAAATATTTTTATTTTAGAGTATGGCTACCGAATTACATCATGTAAAGAAGTGTTGGAATTTGTAAGGTTACAATTAAGAAGGCCATGGAATAATTTTACAAATACAGTCCTGGAAGTTTGAATTTTTTTATTTTTAATATAGA